TGCAGTTAAGATTACCTTGAGACAAGGCCACTTGCAAATTGGATTCACCTTCCACATACTGCACTGTCCCCATTGAGTAACATCTCCTAGCATCCAAATTACACCTGCTGGTCTCTCCTTGTTGTTTCTCTCCAATACCTTCCCCGTCATTCAAAGTTCTGAACTTGCCAAGTCGCACTGAAAATACCCTCTTTTCACCATCACTTTTGTCCTCCACAATGGTAGCTGGTTTTTGACAATTGACAGATCCACACTCTTCTTCACAGGAGAATCCATTTGATAATTCCCTTGAGAGATCATAATTGGACAGTGGGTTTTCCATTGGAAGACTAGAGCCCAAAAGGGTCCCTCTACAAAGAGGGCAGGTTGAGTTTGAGAGAAGCCAGGTATCTATGCAGTTAATGTGAAAAGCATGACTACACTGAGGAAGCAACCTGAGCCTTTCTTGGTCTGAGAATTCACAGAGACAAACTGCACAATCAAATGGCTCCTTTAAACCCATGATGTCTTGGTAATAAAACACAGGTAGAGCATCAATGAAAGCTTGGTCTAGACCTGAATCATGCAAGCGAAAGAGCTGTTGAAGCTGTCTTTGTAGAGAATGAGACCCTGAGGTTTCTGGGTACCTATTGGAATGATAAATTGGGGAAAAAGATGCCCTCTTTAGGAGAAATCTAACAAGTAAATGAAGAAGACCAGAAACAAAGAAAACAACAGCAAAAATTACTATAACCAGAAGAAGCACTGGACTAAATTTGTTAAAAGAAGATGATGGCGGGGTTGATTCTTTCTCATAGTTGAGACTATTGTAAGGAGTTGAGATTGATAGAGGAGGTGGTAGAGGAGTTCGGTTTATTGTAAAACCATCCTTTTGTTTCACATCAAACAGAACTCTACACATTTTAGCAGATGGGTGCGCTCAAGAACAACACTTTCTCATGAGTAATTCGAGTTCAGTCTGTTCAGACTTCTGACAGCCCTTTACAACTGATATTGGTTGCCCTCACATAGACATTCTTGCTTCAACTGAGATTGTAGAGGATAAAAAGGAGTGCACAAACAAGCTAAGAACATATTCTTAAGGAGGAATGAGAGGATAAAAAGGAGTGCACAAACAAGCTAAGAACATAACATATTCTTAAGGAGGAATTGAGTGTGCTGTGAGGAAATTCTTTAGCTCTTTTTTTTGTTTTTTCCTTAGCTCTTAAATGAGGATTATGTGGTTAAAAAAGAAGACTGTCTTTTAAGTTTTAACAAAGTGTGAGCGCCGAGGGCTTTTGCGTTTGCTTAATGATAAATTAAAAGAAGGTAAGGTAGGGTTTTCCAAGAACCAGCCTTTTACACATACACCACAAAACTCCAAAAGTGTGCAAGAAATTGTATTTGGTTGGTCATTTGGTGATGACGGGACGGAGCCTTTGTCTTGAATTTCTGCATCTTTTTTAAATCTAACACAGTTTTCAAAAAAAAAAAATATTGAGGAAATTATATATCCTTAAAAAGTTTCGGGAGAATGATATAGTTTTTACATAATTATTATTTTCAATAAAATAGTGAGGAAATTATATATCCTTAAAAAGTTTCGGGAGAATGATATAGTTTTTACATAATTATTATTTTCAATCGTGATTGTTTAATAATCTCAATTTAAAATATATATATATATATGCACAATTTTTTTTATCAATTGTAGCCGCTCATAATAAATAAATAAAAAACCTTAAAACCCCAAAAATTTCAAGAGAAAGTAACCTCTAAATTACTAAAAACACTATCAAATCCTCCATTAAAATACCATAATCATTTTTTCCTTGTCTCAATGAGTATCTCTAATGTTTTTATGTTGTAAATTGCTGACCAAGCTTGTGTGTCTGGTAAAACTGCCTCCACTACTAATCACCTACACATAGCAAAAGCAAGGTAAAACATATATATTGTCTCTTAATTTGATGAGTTTAATTATTGAAGTAATATTTTTTGTATTTTGATTTAATTTGGTATTTATATTGTGTTTAATAAATAGAAATTTCTATTGTGTTTGCTAATTATATTATGTTAGATTTTGAATACTGTAAGTATATGTTGTTCTTATTAAAATTGATGTTATTTATGGAATCAATTAGACTTGAATTAGAGAAATTAGAGTTTAAATTAATTATTGGCTTAATTTTTATATTTAATTATATTTTTTGAATTGATATAAATTTTATTTTAATTGATGCAATTAAATAGGCTTTTAATCAATTGATTTTATTAATAAAGTAATGGTCGAAATCGTAGCAACTAGAGTTCGCATTGAATTTTTGTATAAATTATCATAATTATAGATTTTGTTTAGTTGAGATCATCTACTTTTTAATTGACATTCAATTCTTGTAATTTAATTTTTAATTGTAAAAATTGTTCAATTGATAAGTTGTAAAAATTATCATAATTAAAATTTTGCAATTAATTATAGTTTTATTTCTATTATTAATTGTTTAAGTAGGCACGTTAATTATAATTGGATGATCTATCATCTTCAGAATACATCAATGCGAGATGTATAAAGAAATTTGATTTTTAGAGATACGTATTTTGTAATTTTTGAGGAGGAATGCATGACTGGTACATAAATATAGCACGCTGAATCATTACACCTCACACATCACAAGTTCCTCCACGTGAAGAGATGGAATATTAACCACGTGCATGTTAGATTAAAAATGTTATGAGTATTTATTACTTTTTATAGGCTTTGACAAAATTATTTTATTTTATTTATGGATTAATAATTTTTATTTACTTCATATTATGTTGGAAAGTTGCTACATGATGGTCGACATGCTGCGGCTGATCGTTATGATTTCGAGATGATTATGATGGACTTGTTTGTTATTACGCATCTTCTTGGTTTGAGACATGCTATACTACACTTGATTTATTAAAAGAGACATTGAGCCTAAATGATATTGTCTTAAAGAAAGAAATCTCATAGAGAGGTGAAAGTTGTACTATTGATGAAGCTACTTCATTCATTCATCGTTGCAAAAAACATAGATAGCTTCAAATGTATTATTATGTTGTGTATAATATGTTATATTATTTTTCTAGTTAAGAGTTATTTTTATTATTACTAGTTTTGTAATATTGGCTTTGCTAATTATGATGTTAATTTTAAAGTTGTTTTACATGATTTAATATTATCAAAAAATAGACAAACATATGAGCAAGTTGTTTAAAATTTCAAATCATTCATTAACAACTTAAAGAAAACACAAATAAATATGATAATTAAAAAACACATATATTAATTTAGGATTATAATTAACAAATAAAAATGATAATAAAATATTACACTTTGAATCATGGGTTTGAGGTTTGATAATTTATAGTCTTTTTTTTTTTTAGATTAATGTGGGTGTTCGGGCCAGCTTGCGCGCACCACGACTAATCCCACGGGTCCTGAAGTTAACGACCATGTAAGTCTCCAGTGGCCATCATATGAGCAACCAAGGACTCGAACCCGAGACCACAGAGGGAGCAAATCCCTTGATCCCAAGTCTTTACCACTATAAATTGATAATTTATAGTCTTGCTTGGCTTTTGATTGTAGTGATTTAAACTTAGTTTTGTATGAAAATTAGGTTTGGACACAACCGCTATTTTTATTATTAGTGGTTGTTTAACAGTTTTGAACAATTACTAATGATAATAATGATTGTTTAATAAAATATTGAGGATAATAACAATTGTTATCATTAGCAATTTTAAACAATCGCTATTACCCGTAGTTGTTGTTAATAAAGCTATGTTTTTCAATGGTAGTTGAGTTAAAACTGTGTTTTTTTTTAATATTTTTTATATTATTTTAAAAAATATATTAAACTATGCTAAGTTGATAAGAGACCTGAATTTATACATTCAAGGCAGAGTTTTTCACCCAAGGGATTTTTAATTTGTCTGTTATATTAGACTGTTAGAGGGAAGAAGGGGGTGGTTACTACGAGTGGTTGTAGAGGAGTGTGAGCTGTTGGCCCATCTTGATTATGATAATTTGCAATAGGCACTAATAGGGTTACTATTTTTTCACATGGAGACTTTGTGATTGTGCACATGCCCGCTGCTAACTGTTCGAAGCTCATTTGGGATATGGAGACTCTTCTTTAGACCTCCTATTGTCTTCTTCATCAAAGTTTTGATGCATGTAGTGAAAGGCTAGTAGAAAGACCAGAGTGCCGCAATGAAAAAAGCGTAATGATTGATCGGTCCACCACCACTCACAGTCTGATTGTCCACAGTAGTCTGTGTGACTTCTGGATCTACAGAAATAATTACCCTTCAATGATAGTTTCTGGTATGATGGCCTGCTAATCACGAGAAAGTTACCATCAATATTGGCAAGCCTGAAGGTTTTCCAACCATTTTTGAGTCTGAAAATCTCAGATAAGTAGAGCAAAACCAAAACACAGCCTATATATATGAGCACATGTGATTATGCAAAGCAATTTCTTCTGATGACTAAGGAAAAGAACAGTGAAAATGCAGACCAAACCTAATGGTAGGTCACATGAGCTCTCAGGACGCATGGCCTTTATAATAACGTTCTTGAAGTTTATTTATTTATTTTAATCATGCCCACTCGACAAGGTGATGATGATTTGCCATATTTGTAGTGGTTTGACAATTTTCCGTGATGTGATGATTGTCGTTGTCCAGACAACATCGTAACCAAGATATTTTGGGTACTTCTTCCTACTTTCAAGGTTCTTGAATCCAGAAATTAAACGTGACTCGACCATCTCTATACTTAAACATTACAAAATGCATTCCATTTTTACTAGACAATCCACACTCTAAATTCAAGTTACCTTGAAATAATCCTAACAAGACTAATTACTCTTCAGCATATTAAAGATTGTATTTTGTTAGTGTTTTTACGATAAAAAAATTATAAAAAAGAGGAATTATTTTATATACCAACATGTTTTAAACGAACTCTAAGATTTGATGTAGGGTTAATGACCAAATTGTATAATATTTTATTACTAATGTGGACTCGACTTCCATGGCATAGTTTAATCATGGATCTGAAATAAAGGATCTCTCTTCATCCTCTTTTATTGTGTTTATCATAGCTGAAATTTGGTTTGTGCTTGGCCTCTCATTTGGAGATGGATTTATGCACTTCAATGCTACCTGCAACAGGTTCAACATCCTCTCTTCACAAGCACCTTCTGAGATCAAGGCCCTGTCAAAAACTTCAGCTGTCCATTTTTCTCTAACCACTGAATGCACCCAACTTGCCAAATCAAAGCCATTGTTTTGGACTAGTTTCCCTGTCAAAAGCTCAAGAAGAACCACACCAAAGCCATAAACATCCAACTTGAAGCTATCAGACTGGGAAAGGAATGATTGGTCTTGGTCTTGGCCTTGAACCACAATAAGACCATATTCACTAATGCAGGGCTCCATTTTATTGTTGAATAAAATGTTGGTGGATTTCAGGTTCCCGTGAGCAATCCCACCTTCTTGAAGCTGCTCGTGCATGTATGCTAAGGACTCTGCAATAGTAGCTGCAACATTGAGTCTGCTTCCCCAGTCAAATACTTGACCATTCTGGGATCCTGAACCATCAACAACAATTCGAAGTTATTATATTTTCCTGTATTTAAGCTTATATTATTGTTTTATACTTATAAAATTGCTTGGGCGTGAGAGAAGGAAGCCAAAGCCAAAAATGAAAAAACAAATCAAGAATATTCAAATCTGTGGCATGGTCTGGTGTTTTGATTGAAAATTTAACTTGAATTCATTTATCAAACAGCCCAGGAAACACCAATCAGACTGAAATTTACCATTTCTCTCGGTTAAATGTTTTTCCTGTGGGATTTTTCAGCAACTTGTCCTGTATTTCCTCTAGTTACATCCCCATGGTGCACTTAATATTGTGGAAATTTAAACTACCCTTATCCTATAATCTCTAATATATTTTTTTCCTGTTTTGCAATGTCATTTATATCCTACGAGTGCGTTTCCAGTTTCCACCTTTAAAATGTGGTAATCTTACAATTTAGAATACTAGACTTACCATGGAGAAGCTTGAAGAGACTGCCATTCTGCTGATACTCGTATACCAGGAGCTTCTCTTGCTTGGAGCAATAAAAGGCTACTGGAGGCAATACTCTGGGATGCTTCACTTGGTCTATCCTCTGGATTCTGCTCTTGAAGTCTTCTGCAGAAATCCCCAAGTCTTTGATCCTTTTCAGTGCCAAGATCGTAGCATTATCGAGCATGACCTTGTATAAACTTCCATGCTTTCCTCTACCTAGCAACTCAGCTGGAGCTCGAAGCAAGTCCTCAAATTTCAAATCCTTCACCACAGGACTGGGAAGAACCACAAGTGATGATGATGTCGTTCCAGCCTCAACGGATGTTATTGAATACTCTGATCTACTACCACCAGTCTTGGATTCACTTGAAGTTCTACTAGGCTCTTCACTCGCATTAGCTACCTTCCCCATCTTGACTACCTTAACCGTTTCTTCCTTAGATTTATTTTTCTTAAATAAATATAAAGCAAATATGAGCAGCACAACCACGGCAAGTAGTATATAGCCTGAGAAGATAAGGAACCGATCAGCTGATGAGTGCTTTGATCCCTTTTTTGACGGTGGAGGGGATGGTCGGCAGGCTTTTGATAATAGTGTCCCACATAATTCAGGGTTACCTGTGAAGCTGTCTGCCCCAAACTTGCTTTTGACATCAGGAATTGGACCACTGAAATTATTGTTGGCGACACTGAATTCCTTGAGATAGGAGAAATCAAAATCCGGTATTGCCCCACTGAGCTGATTGTTTTCAGCAAAGAAGGTTAGCAGGCCTGATACTCGGGACATATCAGGAAGCTCACCAGAGAAGTTGTTGTTGGATATATCAAGCCTTTTCAAGTTACGTAACTGGGAAATAGTGTCAGGAATATAACCAGTAAATCGGTTCCCGCCTACGTACAAGTGGCTTAGACGTTTGCAACTTCCTATCTCGTCAGGTATGAAGCCAGAAATATTATTCTCTTTCAGGCTCAAGACATGAAGAGACTTCGCTGTGCAGACAGAAGCAGCATCAAATATTCCTGTTAAGTTGAACTTATTAAGAACAATCCTCTTAACATTTTGCGATCCCAAGCAGTCCACACCTTTCCATGTGCTATTGCAGGGATCCGAATTGATGTCCCAACCCCAATTCTGATCATTTTGCTCATGTCCTGCTGAAAGTTTCTCCATGAATTGCAGCAGTGCCTTTTTGACATTTTCATCTTCTGAATTGGACTTTGGAAGAACGAGGAAGATCAAAATGGGGAACACCCAGATGAGAATTCGATCCATATGTTTTTTGGATGAACTAAGTGAGTTCAGCAAAAATGGAACTATATTGTGGTTTCCTCCTTGGTAGTGGCCTCAGATTGGCTGGCTAGGTATGTAAAACAAAGGAGAAAGCAACCAAATCGATGCGGTTGCTTAAACCAGTTTTCAGTGCCAGTTGGCTGAATTTCTAAAGAGAGGTAGCATTATTCTAAATTTTGTTGCCGTAAGGTCCTGAAGAAACAACATGCCAAAAGGCCTGAAACAAGATCTTCGAATCAGGAGTCGGCAGAATTGAGGGGTCAAAATTATATTCAATTTTGTGTCCATCTCGGTTGATTTCTACAAAATTAATAGTGTTTGATGTTTCACTAAACAAATCAAAATGATACAGTTGTAACTTTCTTGCTGATCTGATTCTCACTGGAATTTGCTGGCTAATAACAAAGAAGAAGAAACCTTCTCGTTGATGCTATAGCATTTCTGTTCTCCATGTGGTTGTCTGACCTTTGTAGCTAATACTTTTTCAACAGCTTCTAGATTATCAATTAGTAATTGGACCCGGGATTTGGATTAAATAATTTTATTTTTAAGACATATATATATATCAATGTATTTTTTGCCATAAAAATTCCAAATCAAAAATAGAAAAATTAAACTTGCATTTAATTAAATAAATAAAAAATTATTTGTGTCAATAAATATAAAAAAAATATTAATAATAAATAAAGATTATAGTGGATAAATCAAAAGATAGATATAAATCAAGATATTCCATCTTACAATACAAATCTGTATTCAATTATGTTTAATAACTTTATTTTTTAAAATAATTTTTTTATTTAATTACTATTAATAATAAATAAAGATTATAGTGGATAAATCAAAAGATAGATATAAATCAAGATATTCCATCTTACAATACAAATCTGTATTCAATTGTGTTTAATAACTTTATTTTTTAAAATAAATTTTTTATTTAATTAAACAATTATTTGTGCCAATAAAATAAAAAAAAATCATAACTAAAGACTATAGATCAAAATATATGACATTGTAACAAAGACCATGTAACTAATTGTGTTTAATAACTTTATTTTTTAGAATAAATTTTTTATTTAATCAAATGATAATAAAATTAGACATAGATGTTAAAGTGATTGAACAAAACCAAAGAAAAAAATTATACGAGGCCTCACATATTAAAAAAAATATATTATAATTTTATGTGAAACCAAGTAAAAAAAAAGTGATATTTGATCAAAGATCAATTTAAAAAGTTGAGATGTGAATGTGACTATAGATATCTAAATTCGAAACATGAGTAATAAACTTGATTATATTTAATAATATTATTTCTTGAAATGAATGTTTTATTCAATAATAATAATAGTAATAATAATAATAATAATGTTTTATTCAATAATAATAATAATAATAATTAAATAAAATTAAAGGATAAACATTAAGCAGGCTTATAGAGAAAGAATGCATCTTAACATAATGAAATTATACCAGTAAACTAAGTGAAACTTAAATCATATTTTATCCAAAAACACTACAAAAGATTATTAAAATTAAAAAAAAATAACCAATAAAAAAATATTAAAAAAAGGTGCCAATAAAAAAAGATTAAAAAAAAGATTAAAAAAAAAGCATAAACATGAGCCTGATATAGATGGTTGAGCGCACCTAAGCTTTAAAAAGCCCAGGTGTGTAATTTTTTTTATTAAAGGGTGGATGACCTGTTGTTTACCTTAGTTTTTTTTTTAAATATAAATAGGCGATGTGTTCTCTTGTCTTTTCCTCAACTCGAGCCACAAAGATGGCTAGAAAAATGAGGTTGATGATTTTTAGACTTACAAACCTATTTTTAACCTTTTTTTATGCAAAGACACTTATAAAACACAATAAACACCTTGATAAACCGGTATATGACTGTAAAAAAACCTAAAAATCAACCCAAAAACCCAAAACAACCTGAAACTAGAAACATTCTTGATCTTAAATCAACCAAAGCAAGCAAAGTTAAGGGCACATAATACCTATGATAAACTCTCCTCATCTAATGGAACTTACTGAACCAAAATTGACCTTTTTCATGTTTTGAATTAGTGTTAACCTAGATTTTTTCTCTCTTAAACTAGAAACTTAAAAATTAGTGTCAACCAAAGTAAAAACTAGAAACCAGAAACATTATTGATCTCAAATCGACCAAAGCAGGCAAAGTTAAAGGCACATAACACCTACGATAAACTCTCCTTATCTAATGAAACACATTGACACCAAAATCAATTCTTTTTGTGTTTGGAATTAGTGTCGACCAAAACTTTCTCTCAAATTAATGTAAACCAAGACTTTCTCTATAACCAGATTCTAGCCACTTTCTCTATTTTCTCTCAAATTAGGGACTTAAAAATAAAAAAAATTGGACTAAAATTGAATTTTCAAAAACTATATGAACTGAAAGTTTTTAATGTAAAAGTACGAGGATCAAAGTGAACTCTTCATGCCATTTTTTAAACTACCACCAATTTTCTCTATTTTTTCCCTTTAGCCCCCCTTCTTTCAGTCTTGCATTTGCTCAACAAATTTGACACCTATGATAATCTCTCCTCATCTAATGGAACTCATTGACACTAAAATTAATCTTTTTCATATCTGAAATTAGTGTCAACCAAGACTTTATCTTTCTATCACCAAAATTTACCCACTTTCTCTTTTTTCTTTTAAACTAGAGATGTAAAAATAAAAATAAAAAATAAATTTTTGGAACAAAATTAAATTTTCAAAAATATACAAACTAAAAATTTTTATTATAAAAAGTATGAAGATCAAAGTGAATTTTTCATGCCATTTTTTAAATTACCACCAATTCCCTTTATTTTCACTTTAGTCCATTTTCTTTCAATCTTGCATTTGCTCAAAAAATTTGATGCAATTAGGCTTCAATTTGGCCTAAAAAATGATGGAACTACAAAAAGTTTGAGGACTAAAAAAAATAAAATTATTGCCACAGCAAGTCCACCATGAAATGTAAGAGTGTAAACCTTGGTTGAAATCACACTCTACACTGGGGGGCAAGTGCAAAGAAAGCTTTAATGACTAAAAGTGCTCAAACAAATCTAGGGAGAGCATAAAAATTCTCAATGATAAAAGTGCCCAAACAACACTAGGAGGTATGATAGAAAATCATCAATAATCAAAAGTGCTCAAACAAAACTAGGGGGTATAAAAGAGTTTAAAAAAGTCAAAAAGATTTGAGCATGCCACAAAAATTACTAACAAGATGATGCTCAAAACAAAATGAAAAAAGAAAGAAGCCCAAACCTAAGGGGGGCACCATTTTGCAAATCAATTCTAAGGCCCAAAAAATTTAAAAAAGAAAAGAAAAGAAGTTAGGGATATAAGTACTAGTGATCTGTAGTATTAAAGTCCCTTAAACACTTTTTGAGCCTATAAATATCTTTTTCTTCATAGCCAAAACCTACATTATGTGCCCAATTAAACCCTTCATGATCAAAGACAGGCAATTCGGATCGATAAACTTTGTTTTCCCATACAAAATAAGTCATTACTCATGGGAGCAAAATAAATTCTTTGAAAATCAGTTTTTTAAAACCCTCGGACTGGATCTTAAACCCATTACTTCACATTTTCACCAAAAGCAAAACAAAATTTTTCAACGCTCATGCAAACCTATCCATAAGAATCATTTGAATTTTTCAAAACAAGTTTGTTTTGAACAAACATCAAAATGACTTTCAGAATAGCTTTGAAATTCCAAAAATTCTTCATGAAAACAACTCCTTGTAAATAACTAAATCTTCTTTCACATGGCCTCATCCCTAAAGAAAACCCCCAAACAAACATTTGCAGGCATGATCAAACTGAGGGGCAATCTAGCAAAACATATAAGGTTGGCTCAATGATTCCCTTTCTAATAAAACAGGAGATATGGTGATCCTTCAGATAAAGATCTATGGGCAAAGAGATATACTCATGTCATATCCTTCTCGAAAGTTAAGATCACAAGATATTGCTCAAGTAAGCCAAAGCAGAAAAGCCACCAAACCTTACTACAAAGACTCGAATTTTCAAGAAGGGAAATGAGTGAAGAAAAGGGACCTATATTTCACAAGTATACATGCATCTTGGTCATAATGCATTACTGTCACTTTTAACAAATTGATGTCCCAATATCATAACGCATTACCTCTTGTGTAGTGTACTTTTCTGACCCTATCTCTTTTCAAGTGAGCCCTTAATCCCTCAACTCTCGACATTGCGCTTCATAACCTTATCTCCCTTTCAAATGCGCATTTGAGATATAATCTCCCAGGTGGTGAGTTTCTTGACCCTACCTCTTTTTGAGAGATCCTTTTAGCTCTCGACCATCTCAACTAATGCACTTTATAGCCCTACCTCTTTCCATTTGAGTGCATCTTCGAACCCTCGATCATCTTAATTAATACGCTTTATAGTCATACCTCCTTCCATTTGAGTGCCTCTTTGAGCTCTCAACCTTTCCAGATAGTGCACTCTACAGTCTTATCCGTTTCATCAGAGTGTGTCAACGAGCCTTTTAATCATCCCTCTAGATGTGCTTTCTAGCCTTCACTTCAAATAGTTCCATAAAGGTTAATCATCTCTTGATAGGGTGAGTCTGTTATCTCTCTTTCTCAACGAGTCTGTTATCTCTCTTTCTTTTTTTTTCTTTACAAAGCTTATTATCAAAAGTCTCTTACGAGACTTTCTATCATAAGCATTATAAAAAGAAGGGTAACTGTCATAACCCAATTCTAGGTTAGAGAAGGGTAACTGTCATAACCTAATTCTAGGTTATTCCCTAAAAAATCATTGTTTTTTTTAGAATATAAATTAAAAAATAAAATAAAGGCAGGAAATGTGGAGAGAGCATAATAAGGAGGACTACAAAAATATAAAAAAATCAAGCTGTAATTTTTGAAGAAAATTCAGAACCTAATTGTACCCCATTATGCCTAAGAATGGAGAAAAAATGTTCAAGGTTAAATTAAATGATTATTAAATTAATTTAAATAAAAATTAAGACCAATGATATAATTAAATTTTTAATAGGCTAATTTGATTTAATCATGAGCCAAATTGAATTTTAATTATGTTTAAGAATAAATTTGGGTCCAATTGAAGGATTTAATTAAGTGTAAGGACTTAATTATACTTTAAATGGGACAAATAAATTTTATTTGGGGCTTAATTGATGAACAATTAAGTCTACAGGCCTAATTTGGGTTTAATTGAGAGGATTAGAATTTTAAGAGATCAAATTTAATTTTTAGCAAGTTAATTGATTGAAATAAGGGGCAAATTACAAGGAAATTGAAGTTTTAGGGTCAAGTAGGAGTTAAATTGAAGAAATTAGCAGCCAATGACCAATTTACAAAAGGTGTCGGATTATAGGGGCCTAATTGACAAAAATCAGGGGTTAAATTAAAGAAATTAAAATTTTAATGGTCAATTAGTGGTTAAATTGCGTAAATCCAAGATCAAGAACCAATGTGCAAAAAGCGTGTAAATCCAAGGTTCCAATTGAAGTTCAACATGGATGTAATTGCATTAAATCAAAAGTTTAAGGTCAATTAAGGGTACAGTTGCATAAAATTGAAAGCTCAACTACTGCTTTGAACTTCAGAGAAATCCCTATTTAAAACCTAAAACGGCATCGTTTTAATTTAAGAAAAAAAAACAAAGAGAGAGAGGACCAGACAACGTGTCGTCTGGTCACTATTCATTATCTTCTTCATTTTTTTTGAAAAAACTAGTCCCATCACTGACTTTACAGGTGCATTTAACATACCTAACATTTACCAAATTTGCCAAACCTTGCATGAAACTAATCAGCAGAAATGCCTCTACATCTGGGTATGGTCATCACCAGCTCATTGGCAAATAAACAGAAGTGACACCACCCCAAAAAGGCCACCTCAGGTAGCCTGCAGCTGTAGATTTGACACTGCACTATGCCTACTTTGAGCCAGCGGTTGGGATCCTTGCCAATAAAATCAAGGGCTAAAAATTATACCCCTATAAAGATAAGATTACCCTCTTCCACCCATATAAATAGGATCAAATTTCACTTTCAAGAGGAAGAAGAAAATTGAACGCAAAGTTGGCCAAAAACCAGCCTTCCCTCTTCAGTTTTCCTGCAACCGATCTTTTCTCTTCTTTCTCTCTCCACCGTGGCTTTCAGCCATCACCACCCATCTTCTCACCATCTTCCCCACCTCCAGTAGCCATCAAACCATCTCATGTGGTGGTTACACCACTTCTCCCTCTTTTTCATAAAAGTCTTCTTCTCTACCACAGTGAACCTGGTAGCAGTAATGACGATAACCACTTTGCCCAGAAGCTTTTGTCCTTCCCAAAGGCAGCCAGAGCAGTAGCTCTCTCCTCAATCACTCCAACAGCAACCTTCCTTTCTCTTTTACATGCCTTTGCTTCTTCCTCTTCTTTGAGCTGCAACTAAAGCCCGCCTCTAGCCTCACCACCTCCAGTCGCACCGTGCACCACCAATCAGGCCACCAACTCCTTTAATGCTAGGTAAGCCTCCCTCCTCTCTTCTTCTTCTTCCTCCTTGCTACTACCGCATGAGAACAGTGCAACCTGAATTATAATTCAAGTTGCACTATCTCATGCAACTTAGTCACTAGGTTGTGCTAATGACTAAATTGCTTTGGGCTGGACTTGTCCTAGCCCAACCCAATTGGTTAGGCTGGGTCTAGCCCGTCCCTAAAATTTAACATATATATATATATATTGGGTCGAGTTTGGCCCAACCATTTAGGGCCAATATCAGCCCATTTGTTTTTGGGTCTGTGCTTAGCCCAATTATCTGAGCTGGTCAAGTTTGGCCCAACCATTTAGGGCCAATATCAGCCCATTTGTTTTTGGGTCTGTGCTTAGCCCAATTATCTGAGCTGGCCCAACTCACATGTTTAAATAATAATTAATTAATTAATTAATATATAATGTTAGCTAAAACAATAATAAAATAAAATAAACAAAAATTTTCAAAAAGAATTTTCAAAAATCCTTTCAAAAAATTATGATTTTTAAAAATATTTTTTTTACTAATTTTTTATAATATCGGGTTGCATATTTATATTGTAAAATACAAATCCAATATTAAAATACTCATTTTTTCCTTCAAAAAATTTTCAAAAAAAAACCTCAAAAACTTTTAAATTAATTTCCCTTTTAAAAAAACCAAAAAAAAAAGATTTTGTTTTCATGCATATGGCCAAATCTTAAAATTTTTCCAAGCATATTTTTCATAAAAAAATAAAAACATTACATCTTTTCCATGTTTTAAAAAAAAATCCAAAAATGGATATCATAATCAGTTTATAATCATCCATTTAGGTTTGGCCAAAATATTTAAAAAAAAAAAAAAACCTTTTTCCAATTCTTTTAGGGGTTTGGCCAAAATATTTAAAAAAAAAACCTTTTTCCAATTCTTTTAGGGTCCAAATGTAGACTTTCATATTTGTGGGTGTAAAATTATACGATAAAATACATTGTTAGGTATTAAAGATACAGGGTGCAAATAAATGCAATGCTAAAATTCAGACTTTAGAATGGTTAGAGTTTTACCTGATAAGGTAGAGACTCTCTCATGAAAGGAGATTTGCCTTGAACATTAGAAAAAACCAACGAATAGAAACTTGACCTAGAAAAACAATCAAACAACAATGCAGCTTACCTTTAGTAAGGTGCACTAGGGGTGATTCGTCTTCCCCTTGCACAATAGGAGATTTGCCTTGAACATTAGAAAAAACCAACGAATAGAAACTTGACCTAGAAAAACAATCAAACAACAATGCAGCTTACCTTTAGTAAGGTGCACTAGGGGTGATTCGTCTTCCCCTTGCACAACCAGTCCCTTGCTTAGACTCTCACAGACCATAGGTTTATAGTGATCATCATACTAGGTGGCGACTCCTGAACCTTAATCATGATTTTATGATTAAATCCAAAAGATCTTCCCAACACACCACACCTCACATAGGAGGCACGACAAAAAGCCTTCACCATCACTCGATGACGTCTCGTCGGCTCGCGCCCCCGCGACAATGCCCATAAACAAGCAATTAAGAAGGCTAGATTGGAGGGTGTGGAGAAGTGGAAAAGTTATAAGTCGAGGCATGTCATAAAGAGTAATTGGGCATTGTATCAAAAATTTATGGTATCAAAAAATTTTACAAAGTGCTCATGATCTGTTACACAAAATAAATAATAAAAAAACTTGTTAACGAGAAAGCATACTAAATATGTGATTATATTTATCAATCATACAAAGTATCTAATAAGAGCTTGTTGTTATATAATTTATTATTTTTCTTGAAGCTTTAATTACATGTTTGTTTATGAGACTTTTAATCAAATATTTAATTTGCAAGAAAAATAGCTTGAACAAGAATTGACTCCAATAGAGTTATACGAGAAAACTCATATAAGGGATAAAGGGGAAAAAAAAGGTTTGTTAATACAAAAGCAAAAGTATTTGTTGTTAGTGTTTTGATAATTAGGGTTTATAATTTGTTTTCTTTGTAATTATCAATCTCATAAGTCAATCATGGATTTGATATTTTCACCTAAGTTGACCCAAGTCAATTCAATATGTTGTTATCTTATTAAATAAAAGATATCTTCTTGAAAAAATTTTGGGTCAAACTATGTTTTTATAAGTCATTTGATTTTTTTTTTTTATCCATAAAGTCAACTAAATCACATCGAGTCAACCTCCATATAATTTGATTTTTTTAACTAAAAAAACATTAATAATATCTTAATAATTTTTTTACATTCAAGAAAAAATTAACTTAATTCATAACATAGCATAAGTTAATAATCTAGTTTTCTTCTAGACAACATGTTTAAGTATTATATTAGATAGTGATTTTTAAAAATATTATTTAGTTGAAAAGATATTAATATAATTTTTTTTATTTTTAATATTATCGTATCAAAACCATAAAATAACATTGAAAATATATTAATTTAATTATAAAAAACATATATATTTAAAAAAAACATAACAAAAAATATTGCAAACTCCCAAATAAAATAGTCACGAAGGAATGGCATTGACTATGAGTGTGTTTGTTTTTCATAACAAAAAAATTGCAAACTCCCAAATAAAATAATCACGAAGGAATGGCATTGAGTATGAGTGTGTTTGTTTTTCAAGTAGTTTTTATGATTGTAATTTAAAAAATAAATTTTAAAAAAATATGATTAAGTATTGTAATTTAAAAAAATAAATTTTAAAAAAATATGATTAAGTATTGTTAGCTGAATTTAGATACATGTTTGATAAAAATTATAGTTGAGATTTATGTGCATCAAAAAACATGTATAAAATCTTTGGTTGTGGTTACTTTTTCAAAAATGTTTTTTACTTGGAAATGCATCAAAATAATTTTTTTATTTTTAAAAAATTATTTTTGATATCAATGCATCAAAATAATATGAAAATACAAAAAAAAAATTGAAATAAAGAAAAAAAAATAAATTTTAAAAAATATCTTTTTAAAACACAAAAAACAGATAGAGTTTTACAAAATTTAGTTAAAAAATCATATAAAAACTATTTTATAAAAATTATATTTCAAACTCAATTTTTTAATAAGTCTCATAATATAAAACACAATTTAATATATTATCAAATATCTAACTGTGTTTTTGCAAACACAAAAGTTACAACTAAACAAACGCACCCTCGGATGCCAATAAAAAGATTGCAGCTGACGATTGAGGCATCTCGGGTTTAGTATCATATAACTGGACGAGATAATTTATTCATAGACAGATTCATGTGTGCCAGTACAATACTTTGAGTTCTTCAAATAGCCATACATTGGTAATTGTTAAAGATGACAACTGAGCAGCGAAAAAAGCATTTCCAGACAAACAGTGAAGCAGTACCACATGATCCATCAATTAGAGTATAACAGGTTGTAAACACAAATGGATTATATTTGTAATCTTAATAAGATTGTTTGTCCAAAGTAAATATCATCCATTCTTTCAGTTCTGAGACAAATATTCTCACTCCATCAATGCTCTAATGATATCAGTTTTACATAATAATAGTAATAGGAACTGGATCATATGGGAGGACTGACACCAGCGATGAGAATATATATATTGTGAATGATTTTATTAAATAAAATCAGCGTAGAAAAAGAACAGCTTATGTCACTAACGAGACAAGGACGCCCTGCAGCAACCAAAATAGTTATCACAAGAAACCATACATGCTATAGAAGGTCTAACTTGGTTTTTTCCATGGGTTATCCCCATAGTAGAAGGCAGTGCCAACCATAAGGGCCACAGTAGCCCCTTGGACAACCACTCGAGCTCTCATTAACACCTGCCCCAACTGCGAATTGCCTCGTCTGAAACTTATTAATCCAGCTGTGAGAACTCCTGCCGTCATAAGTGCTCCTGCAATCGTTATAAACAGTCAATCAAGCTGAAGCTAAATACAGGACTGTCCCATTTCTTATCATGAGCTAATAGCACTTCTAATTTGGAATTTCTGACTGCCAATATGCAAGCCAAAAGCTCAAATGTTTGAAGACAAGAAGCCAGCAGTAACATAACGTATAAACGATCCATTTAAACACAAAGTGAGATGCCCAGACCCTTAACAAATTTGGTATCTTCTGAAACATGGGATCTGCTCGAGATAAACCGATCAGAAAAATGAAAGAAGTTAGTTGTTTTGTGCTCAAGGTAACCTAAAATGTATCAACCACCAATATCCCTCTATTGAGAGAGGGAGGAGAAAATTCTTCAAGGGCATGGTTGTTTTGTGCTAGGATTTTGGAATGGAAATGGATCCTCATTCCATTTCTTGTGCAGTACAGCTTGATTCTCTAAAAAATGGATTACTATCATGAAAGAAACGAGCTACGACACCTTTCTTTTGTTAGAATGAGATACCACTCTACTTTATATGAGACAAATTGTTCTATTGATTTGGTGGTAATAAAACAGCATTATACGTAAATTTAATTTCAGGAGGACAAAAAAGTGAATTATATTTCGAATTAGAATTAGAATTCCAATCCCATTTTCGAAACCAACCAAACAGCTATTTCTTTTTCTTCAAACCTTAAGACCATAATCAATATAATCATATTCCAAACAAATTCTATGATTCCCAAAAATATTGTCTACGCATAAAATACGTATATTATGAAAAAAAAAAAAAGGGGGCGGGGGGGGGACGATCAAATTAGTATTTACCGACGGGAACGAGGGGGTTCCGGACGCGCTTCTTCTCCTCGAATAGCTGTTCAAAGTTGGGTTCCGCCGTACCCATCTTCTCCATTAATTTACTCTCTCTCTCTCTCTCTCCCTCTCCCTCCCTCTCCCCTATATATATATATATATATTACTCCACTTTGTTTTACGGCAGGAGAAAGAACAAGTGGATCAAGCAGAAGCGCAAATCTGAAATTTTGATGCTCGACGCCATTAATAAATTCAATAATGGCAGCCGGTGACTTGGGTCTTGGAATTGTAATCGGGCTTCATTCACGCTTGGGCCTACTTACGACCCATATAAGCAAATAAATTAGTAGATATTAAATGTGGCTTCATATGTAAATCCATGACTAGGTTGATTTAGGGTTTAATTTGAGTTGGGTTTCTCAATAAATCAATAAATATAGGAGAGCTGACCTGATAGTTATTTAAATTTATATGATATTTATTATTGATCTAGAAGCATATAAGTTAAAATAATTTATATTTTTATGTTGTTTAAAACATTTAATAAGTCTAATTTTATATTTATTATTAGTATCGTCAGCATTCATCTTCATTTTAAAGTCAGCATTTATCTTTATTTTAAAAATTCACTTATAGCTTAATAATTTACTACTTAAAAAATTATTTACTAGTTCTCATGTATGATTTATTCATAATAGATTTAATTTTATTATTGAATGTCTTCTTCCAATAAATAGTTTCTAAAGAGAACATTGCTTTGGAGTAGATTCTAAATTTATTGTTAAAATAATTCATATTTTTATGTTGTTTAAAACATTTAATAAGTCTAATTTTATATTTATTATTAGTATCGTCAGCATTCATCTTCATTTTAAAGTCAGCATTTATCTTTATTTTAAAAATTCACTTATAGCTTAATAATTTACTACTTAAAAAATTATTTATTAATTCTCATGTATGATTTATTCATAATAGATTTAATTTTATTATTGAATGTCTTCTTCCAATAAATAGTTTCTAGAGAGAACATTGCTTTGGAGTAGATTCTAAATTTATTTTCTATTAATTATGTTAAAAAAGCAAAACCAAATATTTTAATTATTTTTTTCCCTTTACTCTTTTTAAGTTTACTTTTTTTATTTTATAATTGATGATGATTACTTGAATTAGTCTCAATCCTTCTTTTAAGTAAATAATTTTATGGTACTTCATTTCATTAAAACATATCCTCAAATAAAGTAGTATTTTTTAATTTCATAAGAGTATTGAGATGAATATCCTCAATACTTTGTAAGATACCCCCACACCTTAAGATATTTATTGGAAGGTCTTCTAACTTTATAAAATTTATATGGTATCTTTTTTAACTTTTGGTGTGATATTTTATTAAATATATAATTAGCAATTAGAATTGTCTCCCCCTACAAGTTTTAAGATTCTCTCGAACTTATCAACATAATATTCATTGTTTCTTTTAATATTCAATTTTTACGTTCCACACTATCATTTTTATTTTGGTGAAAAAGGAGTGGTAGTTTGGTGGAAAATAATATTTTAGAAACAGAATTCACCAAATGGTACTTCGTATTCTCAACCCATAACACTTTTTATTACTTTTATATTTTCATTAATTTGATTTCCAACTTCATTCTTGTGATGTTTAAGCAATTCAACAATTTTATATTTACTTCTAAGCAAATAGCTATAACAATATCTTATAAAATCATCTATAAAAGTAATATAATATTTTTTTTCACCTGTAGTTTACACAAAGTTTGAATCATTAATATCTGAGTGAATTAAATATAGAGGTTCACTATTTTTTTTAATTGTTTAAAAATATGTTTTTATGAATCTTGATTCTACATAAATCTCATACTTAAGATTTAATACGCACACACACAAGGTAATAAGTCATGGTTTATTAATCTTTGTATAGAATTATAATTCCCATGACTTTACCTATCATGCCACACATCATAAAACTTTAAAAAAATAAAGAGAAAAAACAATCTTATTATCATCATCATTATCACCACCACCACCATCAATTATTATAACCGTCATTACATTCATTTTAAAGATGTCATCACAAATATTTTTTTTTTCTATAAATATATCACTCTTACATAATATAAATTTATCATTCTTAAACATCATTTTAAAACTATTTTTACTCAATAATGAGTCAAACTCTAATTTTTTTGTCATCAACATGCAGTATATTATTGAGGGTAAGAGGCTTTCTAGATGTCAAATTCAATTTGACATTTCTAACCCTTAGTATATTGAAGGTTGATGAGTCCTCCATATGTAGGTTTTCTCTATCCACTTTTTATAAGTGGAAAACATCATTTTAGACAAAACTTGATAGATCATATTTATTTATCAACCTAATTTTTTATATACGTAAACAATAACATATATGTGAATAATATTGTATACATGAACAACTCTGACTAGATAACTTTATTATCATTTTTAAATTTCTAAATTTATCGATTATAAACCTTTTTCATAATCACAACTTCAACCTTAAACTTTTAATTAAAAGTTTTTCAAAGTGTCTTTATACTTTTAATTGAACTATACACATCATATTATGTATTGTTTAATCTATTCAAAATGTAAATTTTTATAACACATGAAATCACTATAATTCCATGCATCAAAAGCTACCATAATAATGAAATTAAATTCATTATTTAACAACTTTAACATTTATCCTACAAGAAATTAACCAAGTTCAAGGTGGGCATATAAATCATTATTTTATAATGTTGCAATTTAAAATTTAGTCCATTAAACTTTTTAGGTTTCTCAATATGCACCACAAAAAAAAAAATGATGAAATCCGCACTACTAAAGTAATACTTGTCATGTCAATATTGGTTAAGAAAACCAATTCTCGATTTAAAACTATGATATAAATTATAAAAACAATAGTTGGTAATATATATATATTCTAGCTCCACAACAAAGTAAAATAATATAAAACTTGAAATAAAGCAACTTAATAAACAAAGATATTTAAATTATTCAAGATAAAAAAAATAAAGAATTTTGTTTATTCTAGTTCATATTAAACATACATTATGTTTAAGCAAGAAAGATAAATGCATGATTATACCAAAAAGTTTGCAAGCAATATGTATAAACTAAACAAAAATATAAACATGGTTTATAAAAAGTTAGTTCATAAAATATATAACATGCAAAAACTGAAAGAGATTCAAATAAATTACATGAATTTATAAGATAAATTATAACTTTAAAACAAAGATATATAACAACTTTCTAAAATTAAGTTAAAAAAACATAAAGCTATAAACAAACTAAAAAGTTATAAATTAAAACATATAGTATTGAAATAAATCTATATTCAAGAATATAGCAGATTAAAAATAAATAAATTATAACTTAAATTTTAAAGATGTTAAAATCTCTTTAACAATTAATTTATATAATTAATATTTTTTCCCATGTGATAAACTAAGTCCAATATATAGAATAAAGTGTTAAGATTGTAACGTCATATATATATATAAACACAATTGTAGTTTAAAAATAATTAACATGAATTGATAGTTCATCATAAAGGCACATTAAATAAAAGATATCAGACAAAAATTTAAATTTTATACATTTTTAAATTTGTAAACTCTAGACAAAATGTTTAAACTTTAAATAAACTATGCTTAAATTAAATCAGAAATTATTAAATCACTTTAAATCACTTTAAAGTAATGAGTTTTTATTTTATTATTATCAAGAATGAATTATTTATTCCAAATTTTTTATTACTCCTCCCCTATGCAACTAGTTTATATATACAATATTTCTTTCAAGATTTCAACAATACTTCTTTGGTTAAAATGCATCTTTAAACCAAATTTTTTCAATTAATGAATATAAAATTCAAATATTTCTCAACAATATAAATCAAAACTTTAGATTTGAAAGGAAAATCAAAGCATAAAAAAAATGAAAACACTAAAAGTGAGGTAAAAAAGGGTGTGGAAAAATCTGAAAAATTCAAGTTAAACTCTTCCTTCACCTCTCTCTTTTTATTAGGGGTGAGCAAAAAAACCAAAAAACTGATTAAACCGAGAAAATCGGAAAAAAAATAACCGAAAAAACCGAACCGAAAAAAAAAACCGATTAAAATTTTAAAAAAATCAGCCGGTTCGGTTCGGTTTCGGTTTTATAACCAAAAAAACCAAAAAACCGAACCGAACCGAAACCGAAAAAAAAATATAACCAAAAAAACCGAAAAACCGAACTGGACCGAATCGAAACCGAAAAAAAGCCGGAAAATCCGAGCCAAAACCGAGAAAATCCGAGCCAAAACCGAGAAAAACCAAGCCAAACCGGAAAAACCGAGCCAAACCGATTTGAACCGGTTTTT